AGTATCTGATCACATCTCTTACGTTTTCCTGGCTGTCCCATACATGCCTTTCATTTTCACAACTCGACCGGGAAAGACATTCATAGATGTGTTTCCTTAAATTTGTAATGGGAGAAATTGTCTCATTTCTGACATGCAGATGTTAAGAAATGAAATGTTAGCCATGGTAAGTTGTATCTGCAACTTTTCTGGCAGTGGAGTACATCTGCTAATGGTAAAGGTCAGAGAGAACCATAGAATCTGTAACGAGTTTGAGGAGACTCTTGCAGGTGCAGCGTGTGAGGAAGCACTGTTGGAGAGAAAGCAGGTGTTTTTTTAACTTCCATGGTCCATTGCTGGACTAGATAAAATGAATATGCTCAGATTATAAACGGCCAAGCTGTGGATTCATAAGTTTGCTTTTCTGTAATGGGGTGCTCTCTGTGAATGGTAGTTTAACTGTTGCCTTGTTTGTCATGACCAGGTAGAGGCGGCCCTGTGTGTGTCTGAAACTCTATCTGAAAATGTCTCTAGAATTACTGGATTGTGATTGTGACATAGTCGTGATGGACAGTCAGGGAGAGATTGTTCCCAGGGAGAGACTGGCCCCTAAGCAGGCAAAGGGGGGTTCAGTGATCCTCTAATCTGAGTGTGCCTTCACATCCTGCCTCGTGCCAAGGCCTGTGCCACTTACACCAAGCGCCCTTTTCCTGTGTCCAGAAAAGGATGGCAATCCTCCAGTGAATCTGTCTGGGGAAGCAGTGCCCAGGGAGCGCATGCTTCAGGGCTTGTGTGTCTAAGAAATGGTGTGGGAAATGTCATTTTCCCAGCTGTACGTCCTTGTTCAAGTTGTGATGTAGAGTTTCACTGTGTTTGTACTAAGCTTTCCCAAGCCTTGAGCAGACCTCCAGATGTTATCAATGGCTCTTGCTTGTTGATGTTACTGCTGATGTTTTGTTGGTATTGAAATTGGTAGGATTGCAGGGAGGGGAGAGTCTAATTTACAAGCAAAGTCTTGGTTTGGGGCTTTTTATTTGAAGCACGTGCCAGAAAGTCACTAATTTTATCCTTTGTCACGTCTGATACAGCTCTTCCCTGTGAGTGGTAGCTCTTGGATATGGGCATAAACTTCACATGAAAGGTTGCAGAATGGCATATATTCAAAACTGTCCATGTGCTTAGGAAGAATGAAGACATCTTTGAGTTGATCCTGATCTGAGACTTGAACTGACCTGCATAGTGCTTGTGTCTGTTAGAACATGTTACATTTCTTCAAATATCAGTGATGAGCAAAGTCCATACCTGTGGACCTGTGTTGTGTTCCCTGTTCTCCATAAGGAGAAGTTGTGTGGAAAAGTTCTTCCAGTGGTGTTTGTCTGCAAAGGGATCCCTCTTGGTTTGGGTGATGTCTGAGCATTTTGCCTGCACAGCAACAGGGCAGGTGAGAGAGTTGCTGAAATATCTAAAGGGTTGGTGTAAATATTCAGTTTTCCCTAGCTGTTGTATGGGTCACATA